TAGGATTAGCATCTATTAAGGGTATAACATTCGTTTAATATTTGATGGATATTTAAGTCAACCGACACTTGCATTCTAAAAATTAGGTAAAATATAAGATTAGAGTTCATTAAGGGTATAAAAGTTATTCAATATTTGAAGGATAATTTGGTCAACCAACTTTTATATTCATGCCTTTATTAAAATATAGATATTCTCTATGTAAAAATAGTAAGTGGTGATTTTATGAATGGTGCTTAAACACTTTGATTTCTACATCTAAAGAGTTACTATTTTGAATTTTAATAATGTCCTAGCAAAATGTCATAGAACCAACCTCATTTCATATCCCATCGGTATTATTTCTAGTGTTATTTCTTTTCTTGTGTGATATTTTTAGCATTTTTTTGTCAACAGGTTTCAACTTTCTATCCCTTTTTTGACTCTAGCTTCAGTTATGTATATAGAGGCCAAAGTTTTGCTTAATAGAAATACATATAAGTTTCTCAAATGAAGCTCATCTTCCTGTGGTCTGAAGATGATAATATGTTGGTCATTACTCGTGATAATTCTGATAGTTATAACTTTTGTGTGATCGCATGTTATCAAAAATATTACTATACTAACATGTTATCTTCCCTGTCAGAGTTGATTTTCTATGACCCATCTCTGAAATTGCTCTTATACATATGTCTTGACACATTGATTCTCTACAGTCTGTTGCGACCTTCTTTAGTCATGTTATGTCTGCAATTGGAGGAAATACAGCTGGTCCAGGTTAGTTTAAAATTTGATCACCTTTTTCATACAATTACAACTTAATTTACCTTTCAGATGCTCTAGAGTATTGTTGGAATTTTCAGGTGATGCTGTTGTCAATGTCTATATAAACTATGAGAAGAAGTTTGCTTTTGTTGAAATGAGATCTGTAGAGGAAGCTAGTAATGCCATGGCATTGGATGGCATCATATTTGAGGTACCTGAATGTGTTATAGCTGATCAAGTAATTTTGAAGTCGTAAAGAAGCTTTACTTTTTACCTCTTATAGTCGTAGGTGGTTTATCCACTTGGGAGAAAGCACGGATGTAGAAAATTTTAGTTTTAGGTGTATGCAACTATTCTTGTCCCTTGGGCCTTGTTTAGTCCCAGAACATTTTGGGTGCACACCTTCTATCCCCTTCCCATTATAATAACTGAATATCCTCAGACATGTTTCTTCTCTTTTGTATTTTTGTTTTTCATTATTATTATTACTGTAACTTATCGGATGTTATTGGACAATTGATTATCGAAGTATCATTTTTTTCCTGTTGCATCAATATCAAGTATTTGTCCCTACTTTCAACTGACTGCTCTGTGCTTCTCTGTCCGTGGTGTTTTTTGTGCAGGGTGCACCTTGTAAGGTCAGAAGACCCAGTGATTACAACCCTTCTCTGGCTGCTACTCTTGGTCCTAGCCAACCAAACCCAAACCTCAACCTGGCAGCTGTTGGATTGTCACCAGGTTCTGCAGGAGGGCTTGAAGGCCCTGATCGTATTTTTGTTGGTGGTTTGCCCTACTATTTCACAGAAGCACAGATTAGGGAGCTGTTAGAGTCTTTTGGTGCACTTAGAGGATTCGATTTGGTCAAAGATAGAGAAACAGGGAACTCAAAAGGCTATGCCTTTTGTGTCTATCAGGATGTTTCCGTTACTGATATTGCTTGTGCAGCTCTCAATGGGATTAAGATGGGTGATAAAACCCTTACTGTTAGGCGTGCTAACCAGGGTACAACACAACCTAAGCCTGAGCAAGAGAGTGTATTGTTGCATGCACAACAGCAGATAGCTTTGCAGGTGAGACATTTATGTGCACACTTATATAACTTTCAATTCCTTAGGAATTGATCTCCTAGCAACTATTTGGCTGCTCACCCCTTAATGCGTGTCTTTTTTTTATTTTTTGCAGAGACTTATGTTACAACCTGGTGCATTAGCCACAAAGGTTTTGTGTTTAACACAAGTTGTTGAGGTAGATGAGCTCAGTAATGACGAGGACTATCAAGATATTTTAGAAGACATGAGAACTGAATGTGGAAAATTTGGTGGGTAGTTAGATAAGATCTTTTTTCCCCTTGTTGTGCTAAGCATATGGCTTGTTTACTTAAAAGATCATCCACTTTGATATATATTCTTCAGGTCCACTGGTGAATGTAGTAATTCCACGTCCAAGTCCTGATGGTGAGCATGCACCAGGGGTTGGAAAGGTAAAAATACGTCTTCAGTTTTCTAGTCTGGGCCATTTAAAGTTTATAAGTTGTTAGCAGTGATCTTGTATATTTTACAAGGGAAGCGACACAACTTGGATCTGAAGTTCTTTGCAATGGCCTCCTAAAAACTGCTAGCAACTTTTATGAAGAAGCTTTTCAGTACGATTAGTTATAACTATCTCAAATGACGTTGAAAGAAAGGGTCCAATCTGTTGGATTGGTTCTTTGTCGATGGCTTGGTTTTCACTTGTAAAATGTGGAACTGCTAAATCATTTGTGTACCTTTCAGGTATTTTTGGAGTATGGAGATGTGGAGAGTGCCAGCAAAGCTCGGCAAAGTTTGAATGGAAGAAAATTTGGTGGCAACCAAGTTATAGCTGTCTTCTATCCAGAAAACAAGTTCTATGAAGGGGACTATGATGGTTAGTTGTATCGTATCCTCTTTGAGTTGTCAGAAGTGCTCAGCAAGTCTTGTGTTCTTTTATGGCTTATAGGAATCACCGCGTTGGACTAGTGCTAGATGTAAAACTCGTTTCTGCTTTCCTTTTCGGAGCATTGTTTGTTTTATTCTGAATTATATCCACCTATTTAGGTTTGATTTTTGTGTTGCTGGTGGTAGATAGTTTTTGATAGCCTTAAATATGAAGACTTTGGGGTGCTTGTCAACAGTGTGACAATTGATGCAAATACAGACCCAAGTCTTCATACTATTTTATTTCTACTTCTGAAAATCCTGAATGTTCTTGCTTTTCACTTGTTTATTTTCATCTTCTTTAGTTTTAAAAATTTTCGGGTAAAAAAAACAACGTTGCAATGAAAAAGTTTATATCAAACACTCAAAAAAACAAGAGATATTGTACCCAGTTCTAGAGAAGAAAAAACTACAAAAATTTCATCTCAAGATGAGAGTTGCTCTTATTTTAAAAAAATTATACTAGGAGGTTAAAGTGATGACTTTTAAAAACGTAAAAGATCAAAATTATTAAATACTAAATATTTAAATAATTAGACATTGATTGTGCTTCACGTCCCTGGAGAACAGATTGTTGCTTCTTTGTGCCACATATCTTTTGAGTAAGAGCCTGTTTGGCTCCGCTTAAAAGCTGGTCAAACTGACTTAAAAGTTGGTTTTTGACTTATTTAGTTGTTTGGCAATACTCAAAACAATTTATTTTAAGTTATAAAAAATTTATTTTAAGTCAAAAGTTAAAAGCTGGGATAGGGGTGCTTTTTTTTTTTTTAGCTTATAGGTTGTTTTAAGTTGACCACATTTTTATCTTTTTGTGCTTAATATTTTTATACAATTTCCAAATTACCCATATAACCCTAACATTTCTTTCTTTCTTCCATTTTTCCCTTTTTCACGTTTGACATAACAATTTCAGCACTTTTATCCAAACGCATAACTGCTTATTTTAAAAATAAATTTCAACACTTTTAAAAGTACTTTTTAAAGCTGCTTTTATTAAGCCCATCCAAACGGGCCCTAAGAAGCTCAGTTTACTTCATATTTAAGTTCTTCAACATCCACAAACTCAATCAGTTATCGTGTGAGTTTTTATATTATTGAAACTATCATTAAGTACTTGATGTATACGAATTGTATGAGTTTTTATATTATTGAAACTATTAATAAGCATTTGATATATTCGATATAAAAAAAAAGGCTGACTAATTGTTCTTATATTGGAATGATTAATTTATTTTTATTTTATTTTTTGCAAAAAAGTAATTCATATATTAAAAATAATAGAAGAACGACAAATACAGAATAAAGAGAAAGTTGAGAGTTCTAATTTTATTTTTTTTTTAAAAAAAAGTTAGGATAAATATTAAATAAAAATTAATTAAATATATATAACGAATTCAAAGGGGAATAGATTACCTAGTACAACACAAATTACAGATTATGAGTCCTACAAGTACATGGACTATGAATCCTAATAACATCGACACTTTCTAATTCAATCTTTTTCATTTCTTTTCCATACCAACGTCTTGCGTCTCACCCTAGGAAAAATATATATTGCTCAAACTAAGTTAAAAAGATGTTTATATATGTATATATATATTGTTTTTAAAAAATAATTTTTTAATTTTAACTTTTCACTTAATATATTAAAAATAAGATTAAAAGATATTTTGATATATTTAATAAATTCTTAAGAATGAAAAATTAAGAAGTCGTTTTGATTAAATATATTAAAAAAATAATGCATGTATTACCTTTATATATTACTAATATCTTGTTTATTGCATCTTTTTAAGATATATATAACTAATATATGAAAAATTCATGATTTATGTATTTATAATACAAAGGTTTTTAGTACATGCTTTATAGCATAATAAAGAAACAACTGTCTCCTCAAAATCATTTTTTCATATTTTATCTGCCAAATTTCTAGAGGAAATTTAAATAAATATTTATTTTAAAAATAATGCAATGTATATTATTTTAATACATAAATTAGACGACGTATAAGAAATAATCAATATAACCATTATCTAATATCCAATATTAGTTTAGTAACGAGTTAGATTTATACGTATATTTTATTAATATATGAATTAGTTATGGTATAATTTATGCAAAATAATATGTGACTTAGTTATATGAATTTTTAAATTATCGACCAAACATTTATGTAAATAATTTGTTTTTATGAATGATGTCGTATAAATTATTAGTATATGAATAAGTTGAGTTACCAAACGACTCCAAAAGGGTTGATGTGTAATATTGTTGTTCTAAGAGGGTAATTTGTAATTTGATCACCGGAAAACGACAAAGAAAAATTGACGACGAGACTGGAAGAGGAAAATTCTAATAGGCGTAAGCGTGTTTAAAAGGCGGCACGATCAAGCAAATTCATCATTTGTTCTTCATATTTCACATTTTTTTTCTGTTTAAACGGAGAAAAATGAATTGGGTTCAACGGAAAATTTATCTCTACAATGTCACTTTTGGTTTGTACATGCTCGACTGGTGGGAACGTTGTCTCTTCAGTATCCTTTTTTGTTTCTCATGTTCTTCAATTTTGTTAGATCTCCTTTTAGTTTATCGATTTTCAATTTATTCTGCTGATCTGTGATTTATCTATCAGATTTTTATTGGATCTGGAGTTCTTAACGCTTTTTAGATATTTTGGTGCTTGTGTTGCTATGGTTTATGTGTTACAACGGGTTTCGATTTGCTTCTGAGCTCTTCAATAGGTATGTGATTCGTTTTCTCTTGAGGGAAGTTTAGTTTTGTTGTTATAAGTTGCAATTTGTTTGATTTTTCAGCAGCTATCACAAATTCATGTATATTTTGTCCATAAGTTTGATGGTGGAGATTGGATGTAGAAAAGGAGTGCAACTGGGATTAGTAAATTATTAAAGTTAACTGATGGTCGTTTTGAAGTTTAATTCTTTGTTTTGAAAATAGATTATAGTGAACTTGTATAGTGATATTAATGTATGCCATTTTGTAGTCTATATGGTCGAATCTCAATGAATGTAGTGGAAGGATTGTAAAAAGATGCATTCTTATTTGATAGTTTAGAGGATTCTGTGTATTGTAAAAAGATGCATTTTTTATGTTCTGATCACCTAACTATGAATCTTAAGAGGTAGGTAACACCAGGTTCTAGTAGTGATTTTGGTTCAGACAGATGGATGATTGTTCTCACGAAAGTTGTGACTCCCAGTGATTTACCATTCCCGACAGCAGAAATGAAAAAGTAAAAACCTTCAAAGAAGCATTGAATGCACCCAACGGTGTGGTGTAGTGGTCAATAAAGTGTGAGGCAGTGTTACAAAAGGCGAGCGCCTCCTCGCCTTTGGCGAGAGGCGAGGCGAGGTTATGGGTCCTCGCCATTCTCTGCCGAGGCGAGGCGATAGTAAAAAGGCGAGGTGTGGCGAGGTGTGGCGCTGCAATGGCGACAGAAAAGGCGCCGCCTTTTTTAATTAAAAATATTTGACTTAATAATAGTCAAAATTAGGGTTTTTTTTTTTTTTTTACTTTTGAAAATTCTGAAACTCCATCGTGACTCTCTCTCTCGATTGACTCTCTTCTCTTCTCCTCCATCGCTGTCTCTTCTCCCTCGCTCTCCATTGCTGTCAGCTTCTCCATCGCGATCCTCTCTCCAGTTCTCCCTCGCTGTCGGATTCTGTTCTCCTTCTCCCTCGCCGGCCACCGGCTCACGATTGTGTTCCCTCCGACCCTCGCGACTCTCTGTTCTGCAGGGATCGTTTTCTCTCTTCTTCTTCAACAATTTTTTTCTATTCTTCTTCTTCAGTTTTTTTTTTCAGTTGTGTTTTTTTGGTGTAAGGCTGTAAGCACTAAGCAGTGCTTAGTTGCTTACTGCTTTGTGTAAACTTTTTTAAAAAAAATTATAGGCAGTTAATTAAAAAAATCTCTCTTTTCCTAATTATCTATTTCAATATTCCTAAACAGCGAATTAATAGAATTTAATAACCAATGGCGGATGCTAGCAAAAAGAGGGACATTGGATGGAATTATGGCACTCAAGGATTGAATAATTTTGAAGAAGAATAGAATTTTAAAGTTTTGGTTTATTGTATTTTGAATTGTTTGGTCTTTAAAGTTTTAGACATTTTAGTATCTACTATTGGTTTTTGAATTGAATATTTGTTAATATGTGTTATTGCTATTAAGATTTTGGATAAAATATGCAATTAAATATTTTTAATTTTTGGTATTAATTGGCACCTTTATTCAAAAAGGCAAGCGCCTCGCCGCTCGCCTCGCCGCGTGGCGAGGCAGGCCCTTGTCGCCTCTCGCCGTCCACAACACTGGTGTGAGGAGAATTATATGGTCTTAGTTTCAAATCCCAAGTGAAATCCTACTGAATCCAAAGGAATTTAGCTGGAAAAAATAGTCAAGCTAAAGTTGCAAAATCATGACATCTGAATGAACCCAATTCATGAATACTCCATTTGGCAATCTGTTGTTCTTCAAATTTATGTCAATTCTCCATTGACCACCATTGTCTATAAAGCTACACCAAGTTCTGATATTTCTCTTGTTTCCTGATTTAGTTGATATGATTTAAGATAGATTTAAGTTATTTTATAGTAATTTTAATTAGTAGTACCTTGTTAATAGATGCAGATTATTTTTGTAGTAACCTTTCATGAGGGGCCTAACTTTCTTCTTTGATGAAGTAAGTTGTTGCATTTCTGGCGTCAAGAAGATGCAATGGTTACAAAAGAAGTAATGTTAGCTCCAATACATTTGTCTATGCTAGGACTGGGAACTAACAAAAAACAAACAAGAAGGGACAGTGTCTGGACAAAAAAAAATGAGACTATGCTAAAATGCAATTAAGCTGTTAGCTCTATATACCAAAAAAACTAATCTATGTGTAGGGAGCTAACAAAGTCCAAAAACTATTCAGGGAAATCTACGGGGGAAAGTTTACTTTAACTAAAGAGAAGTAGGATACATTTAGCCTTGAGAGAGTGATTTGGAGTTGATATCACACCATTAAAACATCTGTGATTCCTTTATCTATGCTATCCAAAAAATGCTTTCTGGTATTATAGTCCTGACTTTCCTGATGGCTTTATCAACTTTTCATGAGCTCCAACATTCACCTGCTTACTTCAGATTTTGTGGCACCACTCATTTAAGTCCAAAAATAGAATAAAACATATTTCAAATGTCATTTGCAACTGTACAGTGGAGCAGTGAGTGATTGACTCTACTGTTTTTTGGGCATATTGCATCTAGTTGTAATTTGAAAGTTTCTTATGACGAGGTTGTCCTGGATCTAGCATGCTCCATGTTATTCCTAGCCAGTTGTAGCAAATTATCTTCATTGGTAACTTTGTCCTCCAAATCAGCTTCCAAATACCATTGTGGGAAGTTAATGACTGTAACCTTTTCTAGCTGTGACTATTCCTTCTTTTGTATGATCCCATTTTAGACTATCTGGATTCTGATGCATCACTAATCACTGAGTCGTCCAATCTTGTTAGGAGACCTAGGAGATCTTCTCCGTCATTGATATTCGTTCTATATATAATATTCCAGCTTTCCCATCGCTAATGATAAATGGATAAGTTAGTATCCCAAAAAAAAAATGGAATAGTCGGAGGAATTCTTTCATTAGAACAGAGTTGCTTAGCAACTTATATATTAGAATTTCCAACTGAGAAAGATTATTCTGTAGAAATTCCTCCCATAGTTTGCTAATAGTTTTCCGTAGACATACCCCTGGAGGTGTTCTTTAAACTTTGGTGCACCAATTTCCATGCTTTGCTTTAACAACTATCTTCTTTTTTTTAAACTGGTAATGTTATATTCCTCAGCATTAAGGTATGCTGGAGAGCTCCAAAAAGGTAGCAACAAGCCGGGTAATGTTGCTTTAACCACTTTCTTCCAGAGACATCCTGGCTTTACCTCCATAGCATGTCATTGTCATGCATTTGTCATGAATGGCTGGGTCTCTTATTCCCAGACCCTCTTGAGATATTGGTTCAGTGACTTTGGTCCATTTCACTGAAGTGAACTTTATGAAAACTATTATTACCAACCCTGAGAAAATTCCTCCTAATCTTGTCTAGTTGCTTGAGAACCTTACCTGGTTTAGGAATGAGACATGTAGTAAGTAGGGATGCTTTCCACAGAACACTGTTGACTAGTGTAACTCTACCTTCCGCAGAGATACTGCATTTTCCACGGTGCAAGCCTTTTCTCCAAGTTTCATACTGTATCCAAATTCCAACAGCTCTGAATTTAGTAATGGAAGCCCCAGCTATAGGTAGTTGGGAAAATACAATTACCGTAGTACAAAAGATCTATCAGTTAAGTCAAGTTTGACTTTGAATTAGCGGATACCTCACACTCTTCAACATGTTGAGGTGAAGATCTGATGAAGCTTCAAATATTAAGAGCGTGAGATCAAGTTTACGAACTTGGGTTAACTCTACTTGAAAAAAAATCGAAGTACATCAGCCTAGAGTAAGTAGCACTGATTGAGTTCTTAGAAGCCCAATCTCAAACCTTTTAACTAACTCATTTGAACAAATTTATCCTACATTATTTTTATATCCCTCGATAGCCAAGATGAAGAGGAAAGTGAGAAGGGTCCCTCTGTCTAAGATCCTTGAAATCCTGCTGGAGAACTGGTAATTTACACTGAGAACTTGACTATGGAGATGCTGAACTTGATCCATCTAACACACCTATCACCATACCTGATTTCCCTTAGTATAGAGATAAGATGTGACTAATTTAGTTGATGAAAAGCTTTCTCTATATCCAGTTTGTGAAAAATACATGCCTCCCACTTTTAGTTTCCGATGAAGAACTTCATAGCAATTAAAGCTGTATCAGCAATTTACCTGCCTTAAATGAAAGCATCAGTAAGGGGCCTAACTTTCTTTAACACACTGTACCTGGGGATAAGAATCTTTTGATTGTTTTTGCTATTCCAGTGGCAAAGTTCGAACCTTTTGATTGTATTAAGTAAGTGATTTTTGAAGAAAGAAGCTAAGGTGGTGTAACACAGTTGAGCCTGGAAATATGGTTGAATAAATATAACTGAAGCAGTCGAATTGTTAAACAATATTTGGCGGTCAGTGATCACTAGTTTGAAAAATAACGTTGGTTTTTAGTCTTGTTTGCTTGGACATGTGACCTATGTTATTGAGATGAATCTTAATTGTTTGCCATAAAAAGGAATTTGATGTATCTCTTTCTTATGATCAAATGAACTTATGTGCAACACTAATATCCTCTTTCACTTCCTGCTAATAGGGAATACTAATGTGACTCTGTTGAAACACCATTTTATGGTTTCGTGTACCTTATTAGTTCTGGAAATATATATCCTATTTTGCACCAGTTATTATAAGCGAGTTCTTACTTAAATTCTCACTTATATCTTTGATATTTTTCTTGTCTCAGGCAAATGTGGTGAAAGTTCATCATCTGTGTCCTATATGCATGTTTTGGCATTTAACTTTTAAAGTTGTGAAATTGTTTGCTGTGCCATGGATATAGTTGGCTTTGTATGAATTCATATTACTAGAAAAATACGTCGTTCTTTTCTTATTCTTTACCAATAGATGATATTTATTGTAATAGTTCGAACAATCAATCATAAATTCAAGTTGAATTTCTTGATTGTTGTAAGCAATGCTTCGAAATTAGCTTTATTAATTTGTGAAGTTCTTCTTTCCCTCTCTTTTGGTGTGTGTTGAGTTGATAGCGCTGTCAATGTCTGAACACAATAGATGAAGAAATTATTGTTGTTCCATTTCTTTTAATCTTCAAGATGAATATGAATTTGGCTCACTTTAGTTATTATTATAAAATTTAGCTAACTAGTCAAAAAAACCAACTTATTTAGTGATAATATCAATACTTTAATAATATTAGTAAACATGCCAAAAATGTCATTATTTTTAAAAATAAATAATTATTATGATATTATTAATATTTTCTCTTTCATTATTTACCGTTTTTCTTTCTCTCTCATAGATTACACATTTTCCTATATTTATGTAATTGGATAAATATTAATGTCATTTGATTTTTTTTCTCTTTTCTTAAGTTTATCAATTTCTCTTTCTTACTTTCTTCTGAATCAAATTTCTAGATTTTTCTCTCTTTTCTTATTCTTCTTTTAATTTTTCTCTCTAACATTCTTCCTAATCAATTCCACAGATTTTTGATTCAATATATTAATATTTTCTACTATTCTCATTTAATTTTGTTGCAAGATTTGATTTGAAGATTAACATTGATTTGGATATTATGTTTTTTAGATTTCTTATTTATTTACTTACTGATTTTAGTGTTTTTTTTTAAATTTTGTTGTTGTCCTTAAAATATTTTTTAGGGTTTGAGACTACATAATTTTCTTTTCAATTGACGTTTTCAAGAGAGTTACTAGAGTTTTAGACAAAATAATCAAAGTTCTTCCGATTTTCCATCATTTAATTTTTTTTTTCACTCAAGAATTAAACAATAATGTAGGTTCCGCTTCTAAGGAGGATATACGACGGAGAAAAATGCCCTGAATCTGTCGATGTGCAAAATCCCACACAAATTCATAACCATGAAGTTGAAGAAGACCAATTTGTTGGAGAAGAGGTTTTTTTTTTACATGTTCTTTGTCTTGCATGTTAGTTTAATTTGTTTAGTAATTTTTAAGATTAAAAAAATTCATGTTACAATGCGTTTGGAAGTGTATATGGACTTTTTTTTGTGTTATAGTTAGTATTTATTTTTATATTTCATATATTTATTGTATTTTGTGTTCTATTTTTTTTTTTCTGTGTGTTAGTTATGTCAATATAACACATTATATGAGTTTGATTGTGTATATTTCATAGTTTTGATGTTTTTTGTATTCATAGATTTGGAAGTGTATATTGAATTTTGTTGTTGTTTTACATGACGTATGTATTTTTGTATTTCATTATTTTATTGTATTTTATATCCATAGATTTGGAATCGTATTTCATATATTTAATTCATTTTGTATTATGTTTTTTTATAGTTAGTTATGTCAATGTACCACAGTTAGTATTTATTTTTGTATTTCATAGTTTTATTGTGTTTTGTATTCATAAATTCGAAAGTATATATTGAATTTTGATACTATTTTAGTCCATATGTATTTTTACAATTAACAGTTGTATTCATTCAAAAATTATGTTGCATTGTTTCTGAATTTGACATTTTTTTCTAATTTGTATTTATTCTAAAGGTATGTCAACTAGTTATGTATTTTATTTAAGAATGAGTACACCAAATATTCAATTATTTCTTTTCAATTTTATATTTCATTCACTTTTTCATCATACTAATTTTTTGTTTTTTATATATTATTATACAAAATTCTAAATAAAAACTAGAAGAAATAGAAATAAAAATAAAATACATATTGAAATGAATACATACAAGATTTTTGATGAAAAATTAACTATATAGAGAAAAAAATATATGAAAATACAAATATATTTCTTAAATGACTATATAGATAAATTCGGCATACCGAAATGAATATAATTTTAAAAAGGTAAAAATTCTGGAGAAAAAAAAAGAATAATTTGAATTTTATTTGAAAATGTAACTGAGGAGAAAATTAAGAATCCTTACTTTTTTTTTGAAATATTCTCTCCCTTTTGTTATTAAATAATTATACTACTTAAATAAAAACAAATAATAAAAACATAAATAAGATACATAACAAACTAAAATTTGATATTTTTACTAAATATTAAAAGTTTTGCTAATGAGCCCTCTTAAATGCTAAAATAATGACAATTTGAAAAATTTCCCTATTTTTAAATGAGTTGTGGATTTAATTCAGTGGAATCTTCTTTGCTTTTGTTGGGCCTCAAATTGACAAAATTAATCTTAAATTTTTCATCGTTCCATCGTTTGTAGCACGATCATATTCTAAAATTTTCAAACAATAAAATTATTTAAATTTTATCTTATATTTTCTTCTAAAAAATCAAAATCAGAATATTTGATTACTCTATACTCAAATGCAATTAGAAACTTTATATTGGTTTTTTTATGATTTATTCATGTTAGATTACATGATACTTATATTTTAGATTAAAAAATTACTAGAAAAATTAAGGTTTGAGAAATTGAATATCACTCTTTATCTCCACTTCATTAGCACTAACTATCTGAATATCATCTCTTTTGTTAACATTCTTATCTTGTAAATCTAAATTATAACCATCTTTAGAACCTTTAAAGTAACTGACTATTATTTTACATACGTTTTAACTAAATTTAACGAATTTCAACAACTTGTTAATTTAGATCTTACAACAAGTTTCCACACTAATTAAGTTTTGTAACATAATATTTTATTAAATTTACCAATTATATTTTTATGAAACACATAATATAAATATTTTTTAATTATATTATTTTAAAAATATCTACTTAAGTACTTAATCTCCAAGATTTTTTTTATGTTGAATGTTCTTAGAGGGTTGAGATCCCCTCCACTAAAGTTTGTTCAATAGACTTTCAGTAAAATTTTAGACGATCAAAATATTTATTTTACTCGATTCCAAACACATCTCATATCTATAGTCTTTCATTCATTTCAATGTGTTCCTTTTCTTGTGCTTTTTATTTATAAGATAAATCATCTTATTGTCTAAATAATAAAGTACAAAATAGTTGATTACGATAGGGTCATTTGGGCATGAATGTGAAGTCAGATTGATATGAAGCTGAAGTTTTATAATTTGTAAAAATTATTAAATTTTCTCTATTCTTATCAAATAAGCAAAATCATAATTCATAAATATGAAATTAGAATATCATTGATAAATCACGTATCTTTATATTTCTTTAATAAATAAATATTTGTGATTATAAACTTTCATGTATATATATAATTTTATAAAGATACACTAGTCAACAACAATAGTAACTAATTATTGTTTAATGTAATCCTTTCAAAATGAATTGAATAATTTCTTAATATTGAACACACATTCTTCACAAGATTGAGAAGATGATTCTTTCTTTACAAAATATAATTTCCTTTACAAATTTAAAAAAAAAATTAAAACCATGATTTGAAATTTGTATTTATGTTTTTTTTTTAAAGATCAAGACTAATGATAATTTAAAATTATACTTTATAGGGAATGTCCAAATATAAATTAAGATAAATCACAATTTAGATATTGTGCTTTTGTTAGTTCTATAACATTTCAAAATATTAAACACAATTCTATTAATAAATTACATCATATTTTAAAATTTTAATTTAATATAATTAAATTATTTGTCACATAATAGTTATAAAATCAACATGCACTTGGTCCTGATATGAAATGTGACACGAAAACACTTAGCAACATATATTATTATTTCTTAAGATTTCCATGTGTTCTGAAAAGGATAAGAAATTTCATGAATTGAAGCAATAAATTTAGAATGTTAAGATGGGATTAAAATCTGTTGACGAATATGATGTTGGTGATTCTGGACTGATTAAAAAAAAAGATTAATATGATGAGTTGATTTTTAAAATAAAATAAAATAGATGAAGTTAGTGAAGAACGGACAAATTTTAATTATTTTATAATATTAAAGAATAAAATGATGATGTAGAAATATCATTAATTTGATTTGATTTTAATTTTTTGTCTGATATTTATTTTTCTTAATGTCGATTAGATTCGGCGGAGGAGTATGGTAGTCAAAGAGGATTCAATATGAATTTATTGATTTTTTCGTAGACCTTATATTTGTATTAAATTATAAAGTAGAATATATATATATATATATATATATATATATATATATATATATATATATATATATATATATATATATATATATATTTCATGTAAATTCATAATAACATTGATACGTTTGTAGAGGCATGTTTATATATAAAAAGAAATTAAAAAAAATAGTATTTATATCATACTCTGAAACTACAATATATGACTATTGATTTCTACTCATATTCAAAAAGTTTAACTAATTTTTTTCAAAAGCTAGAACCCTAACTTTTATTGTCGTTTTAGCGAACCAAATACTTTTATTTGTTTGTTAATTTAATGACGTTCCTTTAGATTAAAGTCTTTATTTTTGTAAAAAAAATTAGTACCACTGACATGAAATCACAACTAGATGAATTTCAACCTTATTCATCCAAGATACATAGCTTTTGCTATCAGTATTCAAAGTTACAAATCCAAATATAAAAATACTTCATTACATTCAGAAAAAAAATTATTATTTTCGATTCTTTTAAAGTATTTATTCAAAAATGACATAATTTCATGTCAACAATGTGTACAAACTAAGTAAAGTAAACAATATATGTATATATATACAAAGAAATTAATATATTATTTCACTTTAAATCGATATCAAGATAAACCCGTTCTATTTTTTTTATAAAAGAACTGAAATTACATTTTGCAAAACTATTTGCAAACTACTCTATAAGCTATTTTATCAAGTTGCTCCCACATTACTTATAAACTTTTTCAGAAAACTAACAACAAAGTGTTATTCATAATTTTTAAGAATTATTCATGGAATTAATAAATTTGACATTTATTATTATCTCTAATCGAATGAATATCTCAAAATTAAGCCATAAATATTTATATTGCAATTAATTAACGATATAAATTTATTTTAAAATATAAATAAAATTTATATTACATTTAACCATTAACAATATAAATTTATCCTTTAATTCCCACTTGCTTACACCATAGTTAGCTAATAATGATCTAAAGATCATTAATATAAGTTTAGTATAAGAACATTCACATAATGCACAACACGTGGCAATTATACAACTACCCTAAAAGCCTTCAAATAGTCAAAAGTAACTTCACTTTTCACTTCTATTAGTAATATAATTACCTTCCTCCCTTTATTGTATTTTTCACTCTCAGTAACTTTCTCCTAATTTAGCAAATTGACCACTCCTGTTTCTAGCCCCACTTTCATCACTTTACCAAAAGTAGTTTAGTAGCTTACTCACCGTTCGATATTATTTATCATAATTTTTATTTTTAAAATTAAATTATAAAAATTTTAATTAATATTTTTAAAATTTATTTTTCTATTATATTAATATGTAAAAAAATATAATTTATAATACTTTTCATATAGTTTCAGAATATCTAATTTTTTATTTAAAACATCAAATTAATGTGATCTAATTTAACTTTCAAAAAGTGTAACATGACAAACAATTTCAGACAGAGAGTAATTTTTAGTTAAAAGTAAATTTTTGATTTTAAAAATGATAGACAGATATTTATGTAGCTGTAAATCATTTTATTAAAGATAAAATAGACAATTTAAAAATTAAATTATTACTTAACAAAGGTGTCATTTTTTCGGAAATTGACTAGAAATGAAAGTAACTGATATAAGTTGGTACAATTCTTTCATTTTACTTGTATATTATTTTAAACAATCAATTAATATACATTATGATAAAATAATTACTATATCAATATTATTTTCATAATGTGAATTTAAGATAACTTTAATTTGATATACATATATATTATATTATATTTTTTTATTAATTTTTACTCCAAAAGAATTTGTTGAATCATAAGAATATATCGATCACATCATATATTCTTAAAGACAATATCATTGATACACATTAAATTATGAATTTTCTACAACTATTTATATTTTCAAATACTTTTCACAGAATTTCTAACCCCTTATTATCTTAATAACTAATAAAGTATAAGATATGATTGATATTATAAAGTAAATCACAATCCAGAGATAACGTTTTCATTATTTCTATAACGTTTCAACACAAATAATTAACAGAATTTAATTAATAATTATTTATTAACTTACATATATATATTTAATTATTTTTTTATGAATAAGATAATAGTAGCAGTATTTTTAAAGAGTCCTTAGCCAAATATCATGGCATAAAATAGGACACGAAAACACTTTGCAAAAAAAAATATTATTATTTCTTAAAATGTCCACATGTTCTGAAAAGTTAAAAAGAGTGAAAACACTAGTATCATACAAGACTTTTCTCTCTCAATTTTTCTACTTTCTCTCTCTAGTTTCCTTGCCGCCGACCACTCAAAATCCCCCCATTTTCACCTTTTTTCCGATCTGGAGTTTCGACCCTATTTCTCTTATTGTTGTAATACATGTGAAGATTTGAGTATTGTAGCCGAAATCTTACTGGGGAACTCACTGTTTTGAGTGGTATAGCAAATCCCATTTGCATTAATTGGAGTTTTTTTTCGCCGGTGAGTGATTTCTTGCCAATTTTTGTATCTGGGTTTTTCTTATCTACTTGGCTTTGAGCTGGTTTTGTATTATGGGTGTTTGCTAATTAGCTAGTCTGAGCTTGTGTTCAGATACACTAGTTGGGTACAGAAAGAAGAAGAAGCAATATTGAATGGTAGATTTGCTAAAAGAAGCGAGTAGGAAGTTTGTTAAGTAGAAATGGTGTAGATTTTTTACATTTTAGGCACTACATAAACCCTAGAAGTATTCTATTTCATACGCCATGAATGATTGCGTGGGCTCTGGTGAAGTGAGTGTATTGTCTTCTGGTGATCAGACAGCTCCTTGTAAAGAAGCAGCAAAGAAAAAACGGAATCTACCTGGAATGCCAGGTAAATTAATTTTAATTTGCAATTTTAAATCAGCTAGGGTTTAGTTATTTAAATCCATTTTGTTGAAGAACCTAGATTTCTATTTCAGCTGAAAATTGAATTTTGGGGCTTTTATGTTATCCTTTGATTTAGATCCTAATGCGGAAGTGGTAGCTTTGTCACCGAAAACTCTATTGGCAACGAACAGATTTGTGTGTGAAATTTGCAATAAAGGGTTTCAGAGAGACCAGAATTTGCAGCTTCATAGAAGGGGTCACAATCTACCTTGGAAGCTAAGGCAGAGATCAAGCAATGAGGTGAGGAAGAGAGTGTATGTTTGCCCCGAAACTACGTGTGTTCACCATGATCCTTCACGGGCATTAGGCGATTTGACTGGGATCAAGAAGCATTTCTGTAGGAAACACGGTGAGAAGAAGTGGAAATGTGACAAGTGCTCGAAAAAGTATGCAGTTCAGTCTGATTTGAAGGCTCATTTGAAGATTTGTGGAACTAAAGAGTACAAATGTGATTGTGGGACTATGTTTTCAAGGTCCATTCTTGATGCCCTGTTAATTGCTAATAACTCTTTCTTCTAAAGCTGATATCTTTGTTTTAATAATATATAGGAGGGATAGCTTTATCACACACAGGGCATTTTGTGATGTTTTAGCAAAAGATACTGAGAAAGCACAGAATGCAGTTACAACTCCTATTGCTGAGGAGGACCTTAAAGTTCAAGTTGATGTTTCATCGACACCACAAACACCTCGTACGCCCCCACCATCCTCAGAGCCGCCAGCCGTTCCTTCACCAGCTGCCCCGGAGCCTCTACCACCTCCTGGTTCTCCGTCAACTGCTGTAGTGTCTTCTGATTCTCCTATCCAGCATCCAGGTACATTTTGAAGTTCAATTTTTAACTAGTTTGATAATCTGGATTTGTAGTTATCTGATATCTGTGTTTGTTGAGTACAGACGAGAGACTTTGTTCTTTCATGATATTTTATCAAGAACTTTTGTCATCAATTGATTCTTGTCATCTATATTCCTCATTAGACTATTTTAAATAAGTGTTTGCTTATCAGTCTGGGCCACTATTTCATTTTCTAACTTGAAAAACAGTTTTTGGAGTCTTTTTCAAGTTTTCACTCACTAAAATCAACTTGTTTTCTTGTCCAAACACTTCAATTTCCATATCCTCTTTTCAACCTCAACTTCAAATGCTACTCTTTTTCATATCTCGACCTACTCATGTCCAAATGTCTAACTGATCCTTTATCTGAACAAAGTTCAAATTGTAGAAACATAAGTATGTAATATAGGCATAAAGAGGTCAAACAAAAAAAAAATAGAAAAGTAACATTTCCAATTTGAAAAACTTTGGGTTAAGTAAAGGAAACGTAGCACAACTTAAAGAAGTCTAACATGTGTCATCACAAAGGATACCATATCTTGATTCTCTATTTCTCTACTAATTTTTTATATCAAAAGCTTAACTTTCCCTGCTTTTTTATATGAGTTGCTTCTTTCTGTCTGACTATAATTGTTACAATTTGGCAGAGAGTCCACACACAAATTCCAATGGAACTATTACTAAACATGATATAGAAGAAACAACAGCAAAATCAAGGTTGTCTGGAATCTGCAGTAGTAGCTCATGCACCGGATGTACCAACAGCAACTGTTTTACAAGCTTGACTGGAATCTGCAGCAGCAGTTGGAGCTCAAGCAGTAATGGAAGTACCAGTAACAGCAGCATTTTTTCAAGCTTGACTGGAATCTGTAGCAGCACTAGGAGCTCGAGCAGTAATGGAAGCACTGGCAGCATCAGCGTTTTCCCAAGCTTGTCTGGAATATGTAGCAATAGTAGGAGCTCAAGCAGTAATGGAAGTACCCAGAGCAGCAGCATATTTTCAAGTTCAACTGGGATCTGTAGCAGCAGCATATTTCCAAGTTCAACTGGAATCTGTAGCGGCAGCAGCATTTTTGCAAGTTCAACTGGAATATATAGCAACAGCAGTAGCTTGAGCAGTAACAGAAGTACCAGCGGCAGCAGCATTTTTACAAGCTTGACTGGAATCTGTAGCAGCAGTAGTAACTCAAGCAGCAACAGCACTTTTGCAAGCTTGTTTGCTTCATCAACAGCTTCAGGAAGTTTGCCGTCTCAAGCACCTCAATTTACTGATTGGTTTCAGTCCGTGGCTCCTTCACCACCACCTGATATAGAACCACCATCATCTATGGAACCAATATCTCTCTGCCTTGCAATGAATCATGGTTCATCAGTCTTTGGATCAACCGGGCAAGAAAGAATGCAGTATGCTGCAGCACCACAACCATCCATGTCTGCAACAGCATTACTGCAGAAGGCTGCTCAGATGGGTGCAACTGCGACAAACTCATCATTGTTGAGGGGTCTTGGGATTTTATCTTCTTCTTCATCGTCTAGTGGGCAACACGAATGGAATGGGAGACAAATTGACACTGATGGTGCAACGTTGGCTGCAGGCCTTGGCCTTGGATTGCCATGTGACGATGGCTCTGGTCTAAAGGAACTAATGCTGGGAACTCCCTCTGTTTTCGGTCCCAAACATCCTACTCTTGACCTTCTTGGATTGGGAATGGCAGCTGGTGGAGGCTCAACACCTGGATTATCCGCTCTAATAACATCAATGGGCGGTAATCTAGATGTGGCTGCGGCAGCAAGACCGTTTGACAGTGGAGAATTTTGTGGGAAGGAGTTTGGAAGAAGTTCATGATACCAAATGTGAATGACCATGAAGCTTTAGTTGACAATTTGGCAAAGCCCATTAGGTAGGGAGAAAACTGTCTTTGTTGTTGTAATATAGAAGAAACTCCTACTCTATGTATAAACTTTTCTGCTCTTTATTCTAAAGGAAGCAACTATATTTATTTAATTCAAGTGTAAAAAGTTATAGTTTCCTTAAGGTTAAAATATGTTTTATTCCCTCCATCTGAAACATATGTGTTTATTTTCTAAAATTAGTTTTTGTTAAAATGCCTTTTTACCCTGTTTTAGTAGTAATATTTTTTTTGGTTCTAACTAGAATGTAGGGAGAAGGGTTAAAAATGCCCTCAACGTATTCCAAATGGTTCAAAAATGCCCTCCTTCCACCTTTTGGTTTAAAAATGCTCTTAACGTTTTTTTAAGGTTTAAAATTGCCCCTTTTTAATGGTCTGCTGACATGACAAACGTGACATGGATTTTTTTTGAAACATTTCAAAATTTATGACCCATTTGGTCTAAAAATAAATTTCTAAAAAATTGACCCGACAATCGTTATTGGGTCCTTTATTTCCATTGCTTTAGTTCTCTTCTTTCTTCTTTTCCTTCAATTCATACGTTCCATCTGCTTCTGGTTTTCATTATAGAAATCTAACTCAATAAAATTGCTGCACATTTCTTATCAATTTATTCATGTCTCTCTCATTAGTTTGGAGTGGTATTCTGTTTCTTTCTTCCGCAACTTCCAACCATAAAACATAATAATACTAAAATAAACTTTTGACAAGTAAAACAAATCAACAACACACATAGCTAAACAAATCAACCATGTTGTCTAACAACCATTAATATTACAAAAATCAGCAAAAACACAAGGTGTTTGGACTCCACTAGCAGTAAAAAAAAATTCTACAATAATGAAGACAAAGACAAATAAAAGAGAAGGGACATGGACCACTACAACTAACACAATACAAAGAAAGCATAAAAAAAATTCAAAATACATGATTTTTTAATAGATACTCAAATACTCTGTATTCTAAAAAAATAAAACATTACCTTAGTTGCAGGGTAATGAAATCAACTGAGTGAAAACTTGAAGTAACAAAACAACATAACTAGAAGGTGTTGTGATTTTCAACCTTATTCCTCCATCTTCGGCGACTGCTACAAAAAGAAAGGCTGAGAATCGTGTGCTAAAATGGAGTTCAAGAATATATTAGGTTAAAACGTAAACGGGTTAGTGGGTGAGTTTGAGTTTTATAACATAGATGGGTCGGGTCGTTGGGCTGGATTATGAAAATTTAGGTGGACCAATAAGATGAAGGCATTTGTCTAATTTAATGATTCATCATTTGCCATGTCAGCAGACCGTTAAAAAGGGGCAATTTTAAACCTTAAAAAAACGTTAAGGGCATTTTTAAACCAAAAGGTGGAAGGAGGGCATTTTTGAACCATTTGGAATACGTTGAGGGCATTTTTAACCCTTCTCCCTAGAATGTAACACAATTTGTGTCTTAGTTAATATTTATGTTAATTGATTTTGCGGGTGTACAATTAGTCATTTAAATTTATATAAAGTTAGAATAAATAGATATGTAGGATGTCACTAAAATGTGAATTGCAACTAGGATACTGAGTAGGATGTATGTGTCAATTCATTCAATTCTATCTATATAAATTTAAATATTTATGCATACTCAAAGTTCAAGGGTATAGATGTCAAATGAGATCAAGTTCGATGACGCATTTATGCTTTCTAATTTTTTACGAAGTATGTTTAAGATCATAGAATTAACTAAAATTTAGTTGCTTTATTGAATTTCGTGCCTAATCAAAATGGAAGGAACAAATTAGAACAGAAGGAATATTAAATTAAGTACCTAGAACTAGAAGAGTGCTTCATGGCATTAAGAATGCAAAGATATGAGTGAATCATTAAACACCAATAAATTTAGCCAACATTCTTAAGTGTTTTATTCCTTTTTTTTAGTGGACCTATTTAACACGAGACTAAAAATGTTAGTAAAAAGAATCTAATAGTCGGTTGAGTGAATTGGGAATATGAATGAGTAAAGAAAGTAGATGGACATAAGATAGAAAGGATGAAGAGAATGTGGTTTCCTGGGCCATTTTTTAGCTTTGACATTAAAAAAGGAAAGTATCTGATGCAATGTTTCTATACTATTTTCTGAATTTTTTTTTATTTGAATTAATATCTTAATTTTCATCTAAGTTTATGATGTGTATTCTTGTGGTTTATATTCTTGTTTTGGTAGCAATCACATGGCTTAATAAAGTTGGGATTCTTTTTTGTGCATTCTAAGTGTTAAAATCATCCCCCCTTTCGCCTTAGAAACTAGTTATTCGGTTTTGTCTGGAGTTTTGAAGCAACAGTAAAGTTATTCTCGTTTGATGTATAGATCGTGAGTTCGAATTTTAGAATACTCGGGTTTCTACTCCTGACCTTTTTAAAAATTTATATTTGCTTACCGGCTGTCTAAAACTCCAATCAAAACTACTGTTATCTGATTATAACTAAATTATGGAAAAACAGATTCATTATTTTGAATTTTGATGAGGATCAAGCTTATGCTTGGTCAATATATGTTACATTTTAGGAGAAAAATTCCAACATTAACTTCAGTTAATAGGGTTTTCACAAATAAAATAATTGTATTGTAATGAGATTTAAATTGTATTTATGTTGAAGTGTTTTTGATCATTTTATCGGAAAACTTAGAGTTGTTAGAGGTATAATACACTTTTATTTACTTAATTATGTCTTCAACATGTTCATCATGTGTGAGTCGACTTGCTTCTTTTTCATTGTTTAACAATATATAACATCCATAGTCTAACCAAGCGATGTTGTTGGCTACTTAATTTTGTAAAAAGCGGTGATCTTCCCCTCAAAATATTGGTAGATATTTCAATCAAACTCCATCGCAATGATATTTAATTGAGAAAAGTAAAAGACAGAAATCTCTAAATCTCGAAAAAAAACTCACTCCGAGGGAGCTTCAAGGATGGTGTACTATAAGGGACTATAGTCAATCTTCATCTTCAAGGGTTCGGAAAAATAGAACAATACTCGGAAGATATTACTTATAAGATACTTTACTGGTGAAGGGGAAAGAATTTGACAAGCTAAGAAAATCTCGTTGAAAGAACTCAAACTATGACAGACAATATCAACAATAGTTTCCACTCATTCCTTGTCTTCCAAAAAAGAAATCCATAAAGTCCTCAGTACAATTGGCCAACAAGGAGATATTTTGGATGCAAAATATTTCCCAACTTTTGAAAACATAACAAACTAAGCAAAGATAGAATACAATCTAAGTCACCAGAAAACTAAATGGTCTAAGATCAAGCTATTCAGTTGTTGTCATAGATTAAGATTCAAACCTGGGTTAAAAATCCAAGAATTAATGTTATAAATTTCACTCAAAAGGGTTAAAAAGGACATAAATTAGTAGAAAAGCAGAGATTTCTACTTCTAACGCACGGTAAAAGCTATAGATTTCCCACGGGCAGTAAGAGATTTTTGAGCATTTTAACCAAAATAAGTTACTCTGTCATGGCTTGTCCTCAACTCTTAGCTTCCTCAACATTGGACTGAAGACGCATGGCGTTGGCATTACTCTCTAGCTTGGACACAGCCTCTGGCCCATACAACCTCGTCAACTCATCCTGTTTCAGAATCAGGTCCCAGTAGGAGTCAGTATTTCCATCTTTCTCGTATTGCTTAGACGGATTAAAAGAACAACATAAAGAGAAAAAGAAACACCAGCAGTACCAGTTTTTTTTGATATTGTATCAACAATCGCGTGCAAGTACAAGATAAAAAACTAAAAGCCCGGGGTAAAGAGGATAAAGGATAGATACTGTAGAATTTACTTAGAAGTGAGGGCAAATGAGATAACCATACACGAATACAGTCGGGAGAAGGGAAGAGATGCTCAAGTAGTTTTTACCTTTATTGAATTATTCTCCGAGGTAAGCTTCTCACATTCCTCAGAGACCTTTCGCAACTCCTCTTTGAGTCCATGATTCTCATTGCTCAATGTCTCTACCTTATGTTGTAGCTCTTCACACTCAGCCTGCAGAAGATAATCATAAAACAACACGACTATCAAAAAACTCACATTCCAGGTAATCTCAAGATGGACCTATCAATGTTGTCTGTTCACAGTATTTTATCGGACCAATTTTTAATCAGATTTACAGTTCAGATCCCATTCTCTCTCTCCTGTCCAGGTATTAGATTGCACATCAGAGGGAAAGAACAGACTTCCAATGGCTTAAAATTTAGTCAACCGATAAGGCGAGTCATCCACCATCAGTTGATTCTATGAAAAATCTTGCTTCTCAGTTTAGTAAACAATCTGTTGGACAAACTACAGTCCACAATGACAATGGTCAGCTGTTCTTTCCAAAAAATGTTCGCAAAAATTAAACAAGTCCTTCATTTTGAGTGCACCTTCCATCCCTATATGATTGAATCCGGATGAGATTGGCATGAAGAAAATAGTATCCAACTATCACACTTCAGAGAACCGTTTTTCTCCTTTTAGCTGGAAGGCTAGTTACTCACAGTGTATTAACACCAATCACATATTTGCTGCAATTACGCCCGCCAAAACTAATGATTCGGGGTGTTAATGGTATTTGACACAATATTTATTTATTTTTTATTTGGAAAGTTGGGTAAGAATACTTAAAACTCTACTTCAAAATACACTTTTTCAACTTCAGCTTCAAATACTCTTATGTTTCAACTTCAACCACCAAAATATTTGTCCAAATGCCTACTTAGTTAGGCTGGGTGATTTATATGTAACTTGAGGCCAAGAGAACTTACAAGAGCTATGAAGCAGAAAATCAAGATCTGATACCAAAAAATGATGCAGCACAGTGAAACTCATATATTATATGTATATGCTATTACCATCATTCATTGGTGCTACCAAATTCTTCTCCTTTGTTTCGTTTTTTCATTTTTGGGAACTTCTAATTTCTAGACTCAGCAGCAATAGGTGAGTTTCTCCCTCAAATTGCTATGTTTAGTTATATGCATTTGTGTTATCTTTTCTTCAATTTGGAACTAAGTTTGGCGAGTTTAAGGGGTTGTTCTATGTATTCAACCTATGTGTGTGTTTTTACTTGATAAGTACAAATGAGTTTAACACATGGTGCAAAATCATTTTACATTATCAAGTCACTTTTACCTGTTAAAAACTATCTTATTTCAAAATTACAAATCTCACTTTGCATGAAGGGTTACCTGTTGAGGTTAATAAATCATGCAAACTTGATGTTATTTTAGTAATATATACAATACTTTAATTTAAAGATAGATACATATTCGAACATATACAGATATATGCATACAATAAAATATTTACCCTGGAAAATTAATAAATGCACAAAAATAAAAACTAATTTTAAAGCATCTAATGAATAACAACATGACCAACCCAAATGCACAACAATCATATGAAACTTTCTTCGACTCAAATACATAAACATTAAAAAAGTAAAAAATAAAAAGAGCGATGATTGTAAAGTAATTATTGCTAAGCATAAAAAGGGAAATGCAACATCACATATGATCAAAGGCTTTCTCATATGCAGGTATTTCGATTCATATATCAAGGAAAAATCTTTACAATTAATCACATTCATGGGAGTTATTATTAACATTTATTAGGATGCCAATTTTTACATCTGCCTTCTTCTAACTGATTTTTTTTAAAAAAAAATTAGAATGTGCATTTACATTTTTGTACAAAATATATTTGAAGTAAATCAAGTTCCGCGATATTATAGTAACTCAGCTTTATACTGTTATTTTCGTAATGCATGAATATGATACATGAAATGATATGATGATTCAAAGCAACTATAAATATCGAATCAAGTCTCGATTCTTTAGATCAGTCTATACGTGGTGGAGGAATTCTGGTCAAGTTTTCCTAAATATGACCTTCCCCTCCCATAAAGTGAGTTTCTTGTTCTAACAAGGATGATGAGGACAATGACATGAATTCAATATTAATTAAAAAGAAAAAAAAAAGTAAGCCCGCCGCTGAAATGGGATTCAATTCCAGAAGGCCATGTTCCAAGCAGAGAGGGTATTCAGAGAAATTGCAGTCCACATTCATATTCAGGGAGAGAGTTCAAAAGGTGGCACATTACATTGCTCGCGATTAATGCCATGTCTTGAGGCCAGTTCATGCAAAACTGCTGGAGTATTACAGTTTCCATTACTGGTTTTTTCGTGTATTGATTAAGTACTGATAGCTGCTATAGAAAGTGTAAACAGTCTCTTGGCTAGTTATAAAGTCATGACACTGTTTGTTTTTATTTTCTGAAAATAGGTAGTCATCACCTAGTTGACTTTGTAATGGTTCACTTTTGGTATTACTACGACTCTTAATGTAATTATCAAATTAGTTGAAAAATATTCTACATGTGTAATTTCATTGGTAACATTATTTTGGATAATCTTTCAGAAGTTGTACAGTTGCTCCTTTGGTGAGTCGTAAGTCCCGAGTTCAAAGAAGAAATTACAGACATGCAAAGAGATGGGTACATATATAATGTTATACACCAACTCCCTTCAGCTACATTGACATTAGCTGGGGAGAACTTCATGCGCGAGGTTATGGTAAGTTAAAAAACAATGATGCTACAATTTTATAGAGCATAATGTAATGTTCTATGATTGTGTATAACAGAGTGATCTTCTAAGGTTTAACTTAGATGCACAACCATCAATTATTTTCTCTGTAAGTTAGACCCATCAGTTTCTATACATGGAAGAGAAACAGAGTATCTGTAAGAAGTAACTCATACCTGCTTGCGTAATCTCGACCTCCGAGCTGATTCTCTATTAGACTGCTTTCTCTTTTGCCTTTTAAGTTCACGTTCATCCTATTAAGAAGGGTTGTAAAGTACTTATCAACAAAAAGAAATACAGTGATGATTTTTGTAAGGGTACAATCTCATTATTGACAGTATACAATATACATATTGAGAAACAAAGAACAATAACAACAACAATGATCACATTTTAAAATGTGTAGAAATTCCTTTAGATTCCCAAAAAGTTTACTTTAGATACATCAAATAGCTCTGAATCTCAATCTAGCATAACGTAAAGACACGAAGATATTTTTATTTTTTTATGACAAGGTCGCAACCGCTATCCTTTGGATGCACATAGGGTAAAACCCCCGCTCCTATGCAATAGCTCACAAACCACACAAGAGAGTAACCCACACTAAGCAAGTCCTGTGCGACGAGCTCAACCCAAAAGGCAAATCCCTTACTTTTGTTGGCAACGGATTTCCAACTTGAGACTTCCAACCTGGGGGTCCCAAGCCCAAACCACTGGGCCACCCTAAAGGGTAAAGACACAAAGATATATAGCTTCGAAAATATGGAACCATACTAAAGAATTATTGACGTAAGGAATTTGAAACCAAGTTCAGTTTTCATGCGACCAAATTTCAAGCCTTAAACCTTATTCAGGTTATAGTTTTTTTTTTTTTAATTTAATTTAAGAGCATGAAGGGGAGCCTTAGAGTAAATGGTAAAGTTGTTGTCGACCAGGATGTTACGGGTTTAAGCCGTGGAAACGATCTCTAGTTGAAATGTGGGGTAAGGCACTGTACAATATACCCTTGTGGTTTGGCCCTTTTCTGGACCCACGCATAGCATGAGCTTTAGTGCACTGGGCTGCCCTTTTTTTCAATTTAAGAGCATATATTTTGGCAAATTTGATCCTACAAACTGGAAATTTTCCACATAAAGAACGAACTGATTGTTTCATTGAAGTTCTGAAGAATATTAGTATATGTTTCACTAGTATAACTGCTGAAAGCACTTTTGATCAGTTAACTAGCCATCAACTATTTCAGGACCAACCAAAACACCAGAAGAATAAAAACCCAAACCTAAGCTCCTCTTCATATCTCGTTCACGGTTTGGTTCTTTCTCTATCTCAGTTGCAATATCTTAGTTTCCTGAACCATCAGTTTTGTTAAATAGTCTCCGTGGTTACATGTAAGATGCCTATAAATAGGTTTGTCATGTATTTCCTTATTATCAACACATGTCACATTTTCTCACAATTTAACATTTTGTTCAATGAAAATGAATTCTGAATGTCAAGATACACCAGAAACAATGAGTCTTATTGAACACAATCTTCAAATATCCCTAATGACCATCTGGCAAGAAGAAGAGTAAGTACATTTTGTGCTTTTTACTCCACAGGTGGTTAGAGGAATAATTATGACAAGAAATTGGCAGTATCACCAAAGCACACAAAGTAGCATGATCAACTCTGCATTCATTTGTTTCATAAAATTCAATAAACAGCAGAAAACAAAACTACCTGAATCCATTCACGTCCCATCCCAGGAGCTGGCGAGACACCAGATTGATTTGATCGCATTTTGATCATTCCGGGACCGCCAGAAGGTGCGTTCCACAAATCCATCCCAATATTCAGATTAGGTGCGGGCATAGCGACTGGATTCCCTGTTGCAGGATTGGTCTGAGCATTGGCTCCTAATTGAAAATTACAGACCAATTAAATAAAACGAATAAGGCATAATCAAGAAGCAGACAAGTGAAACAAGTTACCATTAGCAAGCATTAGATCAAAGCTTCTATTTTTGTCAGCAGAAAATTCCTATAATGATAAAACAAGAAATGTTAGTCTTAGCTAGCAATTGATAGGGAACCGACACAACAGCAGTATACTCAAGTAAGCTATGACATTCTTGAGTTAATCAGAAAGCATACATGGTTATCATTTTCATCATTTTCGTCTGATGAACCTTCACTTCCGCTTTCAGCACTATTCAAGAGAATATAGTAAGTCAGATGCACAAAAGACCACATCCAAAAATTGATCAATTGATGGAAAGTAAGATTAAAATAGGAGTCTAGATACAAATTTGAACACCAAATCCACATCAAAATACCTTCTTGTGGCACCACCATCATTTCCAGAACCTGAGGCCGCTTTCCCACTTTCTCCTGCCTTGCCACCTGAACATCCCTTCAATTTTTTGCTTGTATTCTGGTCCTTACCATCTGGTGCCTTACTATCTGATTCTGGATTTGCCTGCAGTGTGTTTGGAGTCTGCCGAAAGGGCATAAAAAAATTAGTAAATAGAGGCTTTTAAAGAAATTTATTTACAGAAAAACTATACGCAGGTGACTCTCTTTCATCAGCTTCCAAATTGATAGTAACCAAAAGGATTAATTACCATAGGCATATTAGGATGAGCATAAACTCCAGCAGGAGGATATAAAGCAGGATATGGGACTGGGGCTCCATAAGGAGGCATAAGCGGATGCTGAAACATCAAGCAATAAAGAGTTAGTACATTAAAATGTTCTCAGCTTTATACTTCATATGGTAAAAAAGTTGCAATGTGCCGCAAAAAAGGAGTACGTTAATTAGTGAATGCAAAAATAACCACCTGGGCTCCCCACATGTACGGGTGGGGAGTGGGAGAACCAACAGTTGAGGGAAAGAAGGGAGGTGTAGCTCCAGCACCATAATAAGCCTAAACAGGAAAGTTAGTGCTTAAGATTAAAACATTCATCATCTTATATTATGAAGAATATTGATACGTAGAACCTGACAATGATTAATCACAATAAAATTCATCACCAACCTGCATAGAAGACCAATCAGGATATGAAGGTGTTGCTTGTGTTTCCTGAAAATCAAACAAATAGAGAACTCGTGAATAGCGAGCCACAATACAGAGAGTTTAAAAGAGAGCAACACTAAAAACTTATATAAGCACTTATTGCGGGTAGACGTATGGAAAAAAAATAAATGGAAAATGACCTGAGTCGAAGTAACTTTCGAAGGCTTTGCAGGGGTGCTCTCTTCCCCAGCTCCCATTAGGTGTCGAATCAATAGTCAAGTGTCAGCGTTTGTTTGATTACTTCAGAAGATCAAGTGCTCATTTAAAAGCAAGATGTACCTGAAGTAGGAGAAATTATGGGAATAGAAGAACTTCAGATATTGTCATACGGAATGACTGAACAGTTTTAAGACTACAGAACCATCGTTATGACATGAATGGAAATTAACGTTGTACAAATTATATTCAATATAAAGTTGCGGCGAGGACTTTTTCTTGCTACCTATGAAAGAAGCTGGTCATATATTCCTCTCTGTTGTATATACCAAAGATTATAAACCACAAAAACGTAAAATAGAACCTTCAAGGAGACTGAAAAAGGACAATACCAGATGCGCGTGTGAATGTGTGTGTCTATATATATATCAAGGAGGCAATTATAGTCTAGCAACACAGGCTCACTAACCACAGCAAAAAATAAAAGTTGATCCAGCACATAATATTGACAGCGCATATTTGCAGCATTTCCAAGTATCCTCTACATCAAGAAACAAAAGTAGAAAGAACATTTCTGCTAACTGCTCGAGTCAAAAACAAATTTCAGATTGGGATTTTGAACTCTCTCCCATTTATTTATATTAATAAAAAGCCACTCTAACCATAGTATTTTGTTTCTTACAACCAACAATTCATCAATTATTTTCTTGTTCTTGCAAGTAAATATTAGATTTCAAATCAAGGCAATAACAACACGTTTTCAGCTCAGGGAGAATTTAAAATTACTAACCCACAAGCATCTGCAACACACTGTCCACTTAAAAAAGTAGAACAGTTAACTTCTTACTCAAAAAAAAAAAAGATGTTTATTCTAGTCTAATATATGAAAATATGCATAACTGAACATGACAAAGTAAAATGGCAGGACAATATCAGTTACCATACACGCGTTCAGTATTATGAAAGAAGATTGAAAGAATTATCTGCTAAATAACATGATTCAATGTTGAAATAAGTTTAATAATGATGATAATAATAATAATCAAAACTAGATAACGAGAATGAATATTACGTCCAAATCACAGACCGCAACTTTAAAGGGGGAGTATAGAGTGCACCCATGAAATTTTGAGCCGTAAATGCTTTGTAATGGAGTCTGCTGTCGAAAGCTACTGATAGCTCATTAGCATTTTAATTATTAATGCAACTTAACAATAAGCATATGAGAAGAAGATCTCATGATTAATGCGTCTTGTACACTTTCTTAGATTCTCACTTTTTAACACACCCTTTTTTGCTTGTGAATTATGGACAGATAGCATATCAATTATATTCTTTTTAGCACAAATACAAGGTCTGGGTTAAAGTTACTGGGCCATGCCGAACCTGTAACCATATAGGTAAATCCGCCTTTGGCTCCATATGTCACCAAAATTTTCCAGTTTGGTACTCTGAACTGATCCTAATGCCTGATAATTTAACCACGACACATATTTGTATTGGGTAAAAGAATAGCTTGTGCACGTCGCAGGACGAGGAGTGAACACATTTGATGTAAAAATGATGTTCACGAAGGCTTTTTAATGGAATGGTTGGTCTAGAGATGTGTTTGGTGAAGCTCAAACCTCGACTTGTTACCGAGACCATAAAATGAGCACCATTGGAAAAGAAAATGGGAACTCGTGTCATGATGACTTGGAAAAAGGACAGATACACCAGATATGTTTGTACATTATCCAGCTGCAGAGGGATAATAGTTGGCACAGCCAACGGTATTTCCACGTGGAATCGGCTATTGGGCATAGTACTTTAGTGCTCAAGTGGAGCTTTTCTATTGGATGATGTCTTAACTTTTTTACCTATAAATATCAGTTTTAACGTAATTGTATGCTCCAAGCTTTCAAATTCTCCTAAGTCCAAGCTCTCAAGCATTACTATACATAAAGGTCCCCGAATCCGATATCATGAACACTCTAACCTCACCAGGATCCAGCGCAAACCCATCTCATCGAGGCTCTATTGCTTCATACGACTCTATTACTTCCCTAACAACTTCCAATTAATTCTTAGCGAACATATTTAACTGGTAATAGCCAAACTTAACGAGTTAATTCAAGATGCGTGTCCTTGACCTCATTACAAATTCAACTGTGTCATTTCCCAGTAAACAATATTGCTTCCAGTGGGAATCATAAACTTGATTATGATCCATCATATGATGTGTTAAATGCTTAAAAATCCTTCTTAATTTCCATTTCCAACTAAAGACACTCTCTTCACCTATAAAACTAATTCCAATCTAGTCTTCTCTTGACTACTCCCTAACAAAGAGAGGAAATACCTCACACGGCAAACTCGAATTACAACAGTTTGAGATTGAATAATTTCACTCAGAAAATTTTAAGTTTCTTTTGTCAACAAATGAATAATACCTCAAAGTCAAAGCACAAACAAAGGAGTTCATCTTGCATAAATAATAATGACACCGTCAAAATAACTATACTAGGTTACCTAAATGATTACAATTGGTAAACATCACAAGTAACTTGAAATTCAAGACATGATATGATAATTGAATATTTACTCTAAACTAATTATTTGTTCTTCCTTAATATCACTATTATTATTGAATGTTCACTCTTTAATAATTACCGTCTATGTCTCAATTTATACGATACTTTTCGCTTTTCCATACCAAAACAATATAAGTTGGACATGAAATCCTGTATTTGAAAAATAAGTGAATATCAATAAAATATTTTTAAAAAAAATCACGGTCAAATATAAACTTGTTTGAATCTAAACTGAAAGGAAGTTACGAAAAGTTCCCTTAAACCCTCCACCCCCAACCCAAAATAGTTCAATTACACATGAATTTCAATCATGAAGCTTAAATTAGAACAGAAATACAGAGAGACGGACGTTGAGTAAAATTAAAGAGAATCAAATTGTGCAAATCTTAAAAAAAATAGTATAAACTATAAATTTTCAGTAGTTTATATGTGGGTAAACTGATATTAGAAATAAAGAAGCTAAAAAAGAAAAGAGGAAAACCTGTGTGTGAGGTGGAACAACGAGAGTCCAACTCGGATAGACACACAAACAATTCTTTTATTTTTCTTTTGGTTTCTTCTTCTTTCTTTGCCTCTCCTTAAATCTAACTAGCCAAAAAAAAAACCCAACTTTCCCCATCTTTTATCACCAAAGATCCAACGGTTAGGACAATTTCACCATTTATTTCTCCACAATGGTTATCGGACCCTGAATTGACTCAATCATCTCATGTTTTTATTAATTTATTGACCTTTAATTATAATTTCTTTTAGTTCTATTTAAGCTGGTGATAATATAATGAGTCTTTTAACATGAACTATAAAATATGATAATCTCATGAATAAAATGCAGGATAGTTTTATTGTTAGGGTCCGTTTGGATGGACTTAATAAAAGCAGCTTTATAAAAGTACTTTTAAAAATGCTGAAACTTATTTTTAAAATAAGCAGTTATGTGTTTGGATAAAAGTGCTGAAGTTGCTATGCCAAACGTGAAAAGGGAAAAATGGAAGAAAGAGATGTTAGGGTTATTTGGAGATTGTATAAAAATATTAAGGGAAAAAAGATAAAAATGTGGTCAACTTAAAACAGCTTATAAGCTAAAAAAAAAAAGCACTCCTACCTCAGCTTTTAACTTTTGGCTTAAAATAAATTTTTTTAAACTTAAAATAAGTTATTTTGAATATTGTTAAACAACTAAATAAGTCAAACAACAGCTTTTAAGTCAGTTTGACCAGCTTTTAAGCTGAGCCAAACAAGGCTCTTAAGCAGACCTAAATTATCATATCTTAGTGATGGAGTTAATTATTTCATTTATATAATGAAATAACTTATTTCTAATCAAACGATTATAATTATAAATCTTAGTAAAAAATCTAAATTTTGAGGATGTGTATGCATATGAATGAGCAATTATTTAACAAACGTACTCACGGTAAAAATGTACAAATCATTGTCTTATCTTCAATCATATTAATAACTATTCCAAAAAATAAAAATCCATGTGATAATTTCATCAATTCTAAAAATAATATATTTTTTGACCGGGCCGGGCCGGGCGGGCCCATAGAAGTTGACACGTGAGGTTGAAAGGGGAATCCAGCTGGCAAAAAGGAAGTGGATAGAAATGACAAGGCAACAATTTAAACAACAAGGTGGATAACTTAATTTAATTACCCCACCGCCCATCCAACTTTATACTCCCATAATTACCCTAATGGTCCTTCATGTTTTGAGTTAGGTAAAACTTTAGTCCTTAAACTTTTATTTTTGTTATTTGTTACATCCTTAAATTTTTAATATCTATGTGCTTTATTTTTGTTTCGATCTACAATTATAGTGGGATCGAGTTATAGGCGATAGGACTTTCCTGCAGTCAGATCGTTATAGCGAAAATAGACCAAATAATGAAATTGTTGTAAAGGATGGCGCAGATAAAATGTAAGTCAGTTTTCTAAAAAATTTTCTAATAACTAAAGAATATTTGGACTAGAAACCCTAGTAGGCAAATTTTGAAGGACTAGGGCTATTTTCTTCCTTGAGGTTAGTTTTCTCTGTTGATCCTTCGATTGAGTAATTCGATTTCATTCTAGAATCGAATGAGGTGATCTTAATGGTAAAATTATAAATTGGAATTTAGTGAATTCTTGTGGAATTCACGTGGGTTGGTGTAATTAGCATGTATTTTTAGTTCTAAATTGATTATTTATGTTCCTTGGGATAAAATTGATTTTAAATGTTTATTTTAATTTAATAATTTCATAAAAATAGTTTCTTCGACGTAGAAATTACTTTGAAAAAGTTAATGGAGTAGAAAATTCACGAATTATGAAATAACTTTATATAATGAATAGATCTTGATAAATGGTAGAATTAAGTGGGATTAAATGTCTAGACATTTATTTGAAGAGTAGGTGATTAAATGCTCATATATTTGTTGTTTTAGACTTTGAACATTTTGAGTTTTGAAAGAAAAAAAAAAGTTCTTACATATTAGCTTGTGTGATTCAAGTCCTTCAATTGAAGTAAATATTAATTTACTTGGAGTTAAGACTTTAATTAGTTCCTTGTATATGATGTGAGCCTAAAAAAACATGTTGGTTAGTCTTTAGACATATTATGTAATTGCTATTTGTGAAAATGATTATATTTGAATGAATAAGTTGTGAATTGTTGATACTGTTCTTTATCACTTATGTTTTATGATGTGCATTTATAATTTATATTGAATTTGTTGTGTTTCCTAGTATATAACTAAGCAAAGAGCATACTAAGATAATCTGATAAGAATACATAGAGAATATGATGAAGAGTGATTCGAATATGATTGAACTTACGAATGAGTGGTTATTTGTGTTGAATCGAGTACCACGTCAATATAGTACATAGAAACCCACGGTCCTTGTGGGGTTATGACTAGATAGACAAAATTAACGATCCTTTAACATGTATATACAAATATAAATGTCTATGTTAATAATCAATATATATAATGCAAATGTCTTTCTAATAAATTAGATTTTTACATTTTTAAAATTTATTATGTATTTTGTCTTAGTACTTGATGATTCCAGCATAGTCTTATTCTAAGATTTGATTTTTCTATTAAACAATAAGTTTCTAAGATTTAAAATTCTCCATTTAGGAAAGTCTTAGACAAAATAAGATTCATTCTAGAAGTGAACAGTACGATATTTAGAAAAGACTTATATATAAAAAAAAAATCATTAATAATTTCTATAATCAGTGAAATGTGAAGAAAAATAATAATTGAGTGATTTAACTTTTTAATTTATAATTTGGTGCTATAAACTTTTCGACTTACTAAATACTTATTCGTCTTTAAGAAATTCCTTAACTTGACAATAATCTTAATTGATATATTATTATCATCCATGTTTTTTTTACAGTAAAAAAACTCATAATTTAAACTTGGTTCAATAAATTATAAAAACAAATTAGAGTTATTTATTTATCATAATTTCAACAAAATTAGTTAAATTATTTCTTATTGAATGGTTATTTTATTCCTGCAAATCTAAGCTTAGTGTATATCTAGAACTTTGAAATGACAATCTTGCAGAGAAACTGTTTAGAAAACATACCTGAAGTGAAAGAAATTATCACATAGAGCAGCGTATTGATTTTTAATTCTTTGTCGTAATCTTGCCTTAGCTTACCACGACCGCCAGTGAAGAAAAAGTGTAGAGTATTGTGATGTAACCCTAATAGGTAGAGGATAACCAATTTATAGAGGTCGTGATCAGAGTCGTCAAAACGGGCTTAACTCGTGGGACCAGCCCAACTCAACCCATTATTGAAGTAGGGTTGGGATATAATTTTTCAACCCATTTAAACTAGGCTTTATAAGCTTAACCCATATAAACCCTTGGCTCTTGAGGCTTGATCGAGGTCGACCCATAGTCCAAAACCTTTTATTTAAGTATAACATACAATAATCTCAGTAGTATGTAATCTAATTACTTAAATACACGTTACATTGTAATATTATTGATCTTATTAAATTTTGATACGTCCAAATACATGTATCTAGGAATATATGGACTCAAATTAGGTTAATTTAATTTGTTGTATATTTACTCTATCCAAGTAGATTCGCATGTATCAAGGATACATAGACAAATCTCGCATCCTCGCCTCCCTTCCATGTTGTGTGTCACTCTTTTGTCTGGCTCGCGTATCTGGTATGCGAGATACACGTTAATTACACTAGATTTTTTTGTTATTATATTGAAACAACGTCATTGTTTGTCATAATTGATTTGAAAATATTCTCACTTTCTTGACGTTATAGTACTAAAAATTTGAAAAGAAAAAAAAATGAAAAATGAAGGATTGGACCGCCTCAGCCCTCGTTTTTTCTAAGGTTGGTTGGGTTGAACTTTTTCAGGACATTTCAAATGAAGGGTCGGCCCGCTCTAGCCCTTTGAATTCCTTGACTCGTGAGGCTAGAGTTGGGTTGGACCAGACCGATCCTTTTTGACAGCTCTAATCGTGATTTAGTCTAATGCGCTCATCAAATAACTAGTCCAATAGATGGGATTTGTTTTTCATTGAATCTTAGTTATAGATTTTATACTAATTGGGTCACACATAAAAAGAATAAAAAATTTAACATTCTGAAACTTGGACCAATGATCATATTTACACTAATAGTTGATGACATATTCATTAAATATGCACTAAAAAATTTCTTCTATGGTGTCCATCAAATATAGCACAATATAACAAATCACTAATGTGATCTATGTTGGTATACATAATTTTGAGCTAAATAATCTCTTTCATGCACTACAATATTTTAACCATAACTTTACTCTGACAGTCTAAGACAGTTTTTTCTAGGACAACTTACAGAAATCTCACTAGTTTAATATTTAATTACTTGGATATACGCTACTCGCTAGTTTGTGTTAAGAATATGAATTAAAAGAGTAAAAACTCCATTGAA